TCACTCCTCACCCACCGTGTGCCAAATAATCCAGTCAGTCACAAGTGGGAATATCACTTGTGATATTTAGCAGACAGCCTTATTTTACTCCATTTTGTCTGCACTTCAAAGGCTTTGCTGAGTTTTCCGTTGGGGATCACCTGACACATGGTATTGTCACACAGCTATTGAATGAAGCTGATAAACATTTGGGGCATCTCAAAGTGTCGAAGCAGTTTCCAAATTACTTCTTGGTCAGCTCCGTTGAAGGCCTTTTCAAAGTTGATTAAACTGAGTCAGAGATTTGACTGCCATCCTATGATTTGTTCAATGATGACGCGTAGAACTGCAATTTGATCAGCACATGATTTGCCATACCTGAGTTCAGCCTGTTCTGATAGGCGGAGGTCTGCGTCCAGTACACCCTTTATTCTCTCCTGGATGATGCGACTTAATATTTTACTCGGAGTAGACATGAGTATTATTCCACACCAATATTTGCAGAAGCCTAAGTCGCCCTTCTTTGGTAACTTGACAAAGTAGCCTTTCTTCCAATCAGCAGGTACCTTTCCTTCCTTCCAAATTTTTTGCAATAGTGGCATGAGCGCACCTGCCGCAATCTGTGGGTCCTTTTTCATTGTTTCAGGGGGAATTCCATCACAGGGTTCAAATGTCCTTCCACGAAGGTTTCTTCAGTGGTACCACGTGGTGTCTCCTTCTTCTCTGTTACATCTGCAGTGAAGGTATCTCTCAGTTTCTGAGTGCTGACCTTGAATTGTAGTTTATCTCCAGTTGTTCTGAAGGCTTTCAGCTTAATCTTGAAGGTTGATTGGACTGGATAACGGCCTGAGCCCACATCTGTTCCCCTTTTCTACTTTGTGACCAGAAGCCTAGCTGCGTCTTCGCTTCCTTTAGCAGCACTGAGATGAAATCTACCTGCTTTTTGTTGTGTCCATCAGGCGAAATTCATGTTCCTTTGTGAATATCCTTGTGCTTATACACGTTGCCTTCAATCGCAGAAGTCTTCGAAAAGTTCTCCGTTCTCATGCATTTCGCCGAGCAAAAGCCTCTAGACCCATGATGAGTTCTCTTTCTGTATTGTCTGCTCGAAGTTCAGCATTCGTGTCACCCATTAGGATTTTGCTGTTACCATTTGGGGTGTTGTCTATAACTGTTTGCAGTTGTCTATAGACATCTTCCTTCTCTTGTTATACGTCATTTATAGGTTTGTGACATCCGATGATTGTAACCTATTACAAATAAAAATCCAAATATAAACCAGTCACAGCGTTTTGTCAATAGGTTCTTAAGATTTTATTCCAGAGACTTTCCAGGAGTATACGAAGAATGGTTTACTCAGAAAACCCATGTTTCTCATTCTCTAGCCGACGAACGACTGGGACGCAAACGAATGATAGATAGCTAGATAGTTTTGCCACATATATGTGTATTTATCAGTTCAACTGCACCTGTGGTGATAGTTACGTTGGGCGTACTACTAGACAGATTAGCCAACGTGTTAGTAAATATTTACCATCGTGGTTTAACGAAGGACAGACAAAAACAATCCGTAGCTCAATTCTGTCACATTTAATTGATAGTGGTCATGTAGTCCAGAAAACGAAAGCCTTCAAAGTAATTCATTGTATCCCACCGAATCTTTCCAACAGACTTCGAATTCGTCTACTGCACACACACACAGCTGTGGCGATAGGCATTCGAACTATTAAGCCTAAACTATGCATTCAAAAGAAGTTCGTACAGCCATTATCCCTCCCGTGGCCTAATAAGACATAACCAACTAAAGACTTCTACACCACCCCTTGTTTATATTCTCAACTCCTTTCTTATCATCCCTTAATTTTATCACATCTTCATTAAAAACGTGTCTCATATACTTCCCTTACAATCTAGCATTATTAATTCGGTCCATTCGTATTTCTTAGCCTTTATTGACTACTTCCACGTGAACATTTGTTTGTTCTCATTATTCATGTTATCACAGAGCGCCTCACCTTTCATCTTTATTATCGATAGAACCATTATTATTACTAATTGCATAATATATATGCACAATCTTATCTTATGGACAAAACACCGTGATTGGTTTATATATTTGAATATTTATTTGTAAAGTTATATCTTCATATTAGATTCAAGCCTGATGAGATCTAATCGAAAGCACAATATTGTTCAATCAAGTGTTTTGTTCTAAAATAAGTCCTTCAAAGTTATATACAAGATCCGATCAAATCTCTCAAAGGGAGTGAGATCAGGGTATCCGTGCATCAGCATAGCTAAGGCACTAGCGATCAAAAAGTTCACGCCAACGTTATGTATTCAAAAGTAATACGTCCAACCTTTGTCTTTACCCTAGCTACTTTAAACATTCAGTTCTCTGATTAGTGATTGGACTATCTTTTTAATATTATTAATCCCTAGTTGCAATTTCGCTAATTCGACCGTCTACTGAAAATAGCTGTGGGACTTCCTTTCCTCACCCACTTACTGCCTACTTCGATATCGCCAAGTTAAACTTTAGGCACCAGTGGAGAGCAATCGCATCAATGAATTACCTTGGAACCCTCATTGAGCGAGGTGCTGAAACCTGGTAAATAATTTTGTATTCATGAATAAAATATGCCATAACAGGCAAGTTTCAGGTTGGGTTGGGAAAAGATGAAGTTAAGCTTTAAACTAAGGATAGATTAGGGTTAGGTTAACCTAATGAGGGTGACATTAGAGTTGGTTAGAGTTCAATTAGGGTTAGTTTAGGGATATTTTCACAACAGGGTTAGATTATAGGAGGAGGAAAGGTTACCTCGTGAAACTACCAAAGAAGGGAAGGCCTCACTCTGCAAGAACTGGCGAGGAATCATACTCCTGTCGACGCCAAGTAAAATCCTGAGTCGCATAATCCTGGAGAGATTAAAGGATGCACTGGAGACAACTCCGACCAGAACAAGCTGGATTCAGGAAAGGCAAATCATGTACTGACCATATGGCGACTCTACGCATCATCATCACAGAACAAAGCATGGAATGGCAATCAAACCTCTACCTCAACTTTATAGACTTTGAGAAAGCCTTCGACAGACACAGTTGACCGCAAAGTAATTTGGAAACTACTCAAGTACTACAGAATACCCCAAATATTCATCAACCCTACTCAACAGCTGTACGACAACGGCACCTGCCAAGTGATCCACAACGGAAAACTCAGCGAGGCGTTTGAAATAAACACAGGAGTCAGACAAGGGTACATATTATCACCAATTATATTCCTAATTGCGGTGGACTGACTAGATTATGCGTGAGGCAGTGGGAAACGAGAAGAAAGGGGTATCCTGTCTGGACCGATGTGAAGAACCTAGAAGACCTGGATTTCGTGTTATGATGATTTATGTTTGATGTCACACAAAATCGAGGACCTACAAGCGAAAACCGACCGACAAACTGGTCGAAGAAGCAGCCGGTGACAACAGGACTCAAGGTGAACACAGACAAGACGGAGGTGATGAAAAGAACCAACCAACCGACAACAACTACAGCAGCAATATCCAGCGCCAGTCACCATCATCAACGGGAGGGATTTGAAAGAGGTTACTTCACTCACTCACTTATCTGGGGAGCATTGTCTCAACTACAGGAAGTCGGAACGGACGAGGATGTCAAATCGAGCGAAAATCGGAAAGGCGAGAAACACATTCATCAACCAACTGAAACCAACCTGGAAATCTCCATCACTCAGCCAGAATCAACAACAAAATTCAGTCCAATTTTCAATACAAACGTCATGTCAGTCAGTTCTTCTATACGGATCAGAAACTTAGCGACAGCCTGTTGCAGACCTGATCTTCATCAACAACTGTCTTCGCTGGATCTATACTGAAGATCAGATGGCCGGGCCGGGCCGGGAACAATCACCAACAAGAAACTATGGGAAGAAACAAACAAAACAAGAACAAGCCAATCGCCAACCAACAAATATGCAGAAGAATGTGGAGATGGATTGGACACTCACTCACTGACGGGACCGCTGGGTGACATCGCGCCTCAAGCCCTCGAGTGGAACCAGGATGAAAGGGGAACGGCGAGTGGGACGTCAGTGCAAGAGTGACATGGAGGAGATCGTGTGAAGAGGAGTATGGACTAGCATGGATGGAGGTGAAAAGTACAGCTGGAGGAAGACAGAAGCAAGTGGAGACGTGCAGTTGAAGCCCTATGTTCCACTAGGAACCCAAGGGAACAATAATAAATAATAATAATAAGAGAAAGGTATCCTGTGTAACAGTTGCATGCCTTTTAATTCATCACTTTGATGAATAAATTTATTTTATACGGAAAAATCACCTTTATCATTTGGTTGGTGCATTCAAGGTCATTTGTTCGTTGGTACTTACTAGTGCTTAAATCTTAGGAGTTTGGCTTGTAATGATCACGGATTGATATTAGTTACAGAACCATTGAAAACCAGCACTGCAGTACTCGACAACTGTTTCATCAGTGGAGTTTGGGAATCATTTGCAGTAGACACGCCCCCCCACAGGAGGTTCGAACTCAGGACCTTCTGGTTACAAGCAAGAAAGCTTGTACACCTTTCAGCCACTTGGACCCGATTCAGTGACTAGCCAAGGAATTCTAACTTCTACCGATTGGTGATTTAACGCGACTGGCACTAACCAATGTCATCGGTGGGAACTCTCTTCTCACACTTGACTGGATAGACCTCACTGGTCACGACTTCTCAACAGAACTCCAGGACACTTTGTCCTGTAGCAAGTCAGTCATCAGCGAGTATCAGATTAATTTTCGTTTGTAAGCTTAAATGTTAACTTCGCCATATATGCACAAATGCATAGCCTAGTCGACGACTTCGTCGATAAGAAAATTTTCTTCGCTGAAACCGTCGTTTATTATTATTATTCTCTTAAATACCTTTTCCTATGATCTCATGTGTCTACTCCATTTTTATATTTCATATTCTTTGCGAAAAAAACACATACAACAACAATACTTAGATACCGGTTCAAATTCAGTATGGGATATTCTGCCTACCAGTGTCCTACTATCTGTATCCGATATAAACACCTTGGACAAGTGTTCATTTTGTATGGAAAAGTACTCAATCGGTGATGAGGTTATTTGGTTACCTTGCTTTCATGCATTCCATTATTATTGTTTTCTAGATTGGATTTTAGAGGTAATTATTGATTTTTTTTCAATTTAATTATGATTACTATTAATGTTATTATTATTGCTTGTACTAGTAGTGTAACAACAGAAGACAAGGGTCAGTCAACAGATCGTTTATTAAGCAAATCAACATATATTTATATATATTTCATGTACATTATTATAGCTTATTCAAGTAGACAAACACAGTCTTCTGATTGGTTGTTTTTTGCTTGTGACTGGTTTCTCAGAAAGTTAAGCCATATATATATATATATATATATATATATATATATATATATCTGCGAATCGTATTTGCCCACGTCAAGTCTGCTGTGATTGGTTGTTGAATCAGTCTTGTTCATATTTTCTCACAGCCAATATTAGTGACCTAGACATTGATGTAGATTAATGTCTACCAACTTTGGCTAGCAGCTAGCCTGCTCTCACCACAGTACTAGTACCATTTCCAATGCAGATTTCGTTATAAACAGTTTAGAATATTATATAGCATAGCTCATTGTTGCTTTATAGTTTGAGGCTCTTAAGAAGTAATATAAAGACATCGAAACTGGGATCGAATTCCATAAATGAATCACAGGTTACATGCCCTAGCGTTGGAATTGAAAAGGGTTTGTGAATTCTAACTCCTGTAAATTGGCGATATAATACTACTGACATTCAACAATATTGAAGAATATCTACTTCACTTTGATTTAGTATACACTCCAGAGGCCAAACCGTTTCATTGGAACTTCAGGAAATCCAACCTATAACCATTCATAAGTTGGAGATTGTGTTTCATGACAGGAGAACACATATTATGATACAGTGTCCATGTAATAGAGAAGATTTGTAGCTCAGATGGATGTTATTGAATTAGGTGTGTTCTTTGAATAGCTGGTTGATTTAATTGCAAAGCTATCGGCGTCCACATTCTAGACAACATCCCCCCCCTTTAGTATAAAATGAACTTATTTAAATTCTCCATGAATGGTGTAATTGTATCTGAAGTCGTTATGCAAAGAATAAAATTAATAGTCCTACATATAATGAAATGAAAAACTTGGAGGATCTGGATTTCGTCGATGGTATATGTGTCTGATTTCCCACAAACTCGAAGATATCCAAATGAAAAGCAACAAGTTGGTGATAGAACAAGCATCAAAGATAGGACTTCAGGTGAACATCGAGAAAACAGATGTGGTGATGAAGGTTCCTGGCCAACACCAACAGCAACAACAACAACAGACAACAATCAGCCAGCATAAATGGGAGGAACCTGAAAGAAACAACCTCCTTTACCTACCTGGGAAGCATCGTTTCAAATACAGGCGGACAGAACTGATGACAATATCAAGGCAAGGATCAGGAAAGCAAGACAAGCTTTCATTACTCTCTCAAGTCTGTATGGAGGTCAACATCACTCAGCATGAAAATGAAAATAAGATCCGGATTTTCAACTCCAATGTGAAGTCAGTGCCACTTACTATACGGATCAGAGACTTGGTGCCGCGTCATAAAGAGCACCTCAAACAAACTACAGACCTTCATCAACAGCTGTCTTTGCTCAATACGAGATCAGATGGTCGGTCAGAAAGGATCAGCAACAGGGATCTCCAGTAATGAGCGAACCAACCCAGCAAGACCTGATTGTGCAACAAATAGGCAGGAAGAAATGGAAATGGATTGGCCATACTCTGAGGAAACAAACCATCAAGTGACATCCCTAGACAAGCCATTGCTCGGGTGGAACTCGACAGAGTGGTAAGCGGCGAGTTGGTCGTCAGTGCGAGGGAAGAGATCATACGAAGAGGAGATGAAGGCATGCGGGCAGACTTGGAGCGGGTTGAAAAAGTTAGCAGAAAACAGAAGGCAATAGAGACGTGCAGCTGAAGCCCTATGTTCCTCTAGGAATTAAAGGAAATAATAATACATATAATTAAACCAAAAATCTGGGTACATTACATTGTTGATACATTTGTAATAATTAAAAGAAATGATTTGAAATATACCCATAAATTAAGAAACAACATATTTGAAGACATTAAATTCGCAAAAGAATAAGAATTAGGCAGCCAAATTTCATTCTTAGATACCTTAATGAGAAGAACTAACACAGGAAATTTAGAAACACAGGTATGTAGAAAATCAGCGCACACAGACCAATTACTCAAGTATAACAGTAATAATCCGATAACCCACAAAAGAAACTCTGTGCAGAGACATTGTTCAAAAGATCATCAATAAAATCTTCAAAATCAATGTTTTTCTATGTGTGGTTAAGAGACTTGTCATGTCAACCGCGAAGAATTTCCAACAGCTTTCAGTAAACTTTTATCAATAGCTACCTCCTTCGCCGGTTTTATATTCAAGATTGGATGGTTGGCCAGAGAAGGCTATCAGGAAGGAACTCCGACAACAAGGGCGTCAGTAACGGCCTGTCATTCAACAAATATGCAAAAGCAAACTGAGATGAAGAAAGAATGACTAAATTTGCAATACGAAATGATGTCATTCTACAGCATAGATTCTCATCAGCTACTGCGAACTACCTGAAATTACAATGGTTATAAAAAAATTGGCAATAACATGACTCAAGGTTTTTGAATGGTATTAGAGAAGACGTTATAAAATTACCACATCGGAAATATAAGCATTGCAGCTGGCTTTGGTGTAAGTTACCATTAATTTATATGTCTTTCAAAATAGAAAATGAAGTGGGAGACGGAGATAGAAAACGGAAAAATCTAATTAACAGGGTTAGCTTGCAAGTTCACATAGCAACTCAAGAAGGTTATAATTCAGCGGAGAAAATTCTTTTCATCGACGAAATCATCTTCAGAGGCTGTACAGTCGTATTTATACTTACAAAAATATATAGTGGTCTCTTATTGAGTAATAAGAGGTGATATAATTAATATCTCATGTGGAGCTAGTTATATTGTCTGTACAAAGCGCACACTTTCCAAACACATCTCTGAACATTATCCGGCATGGTTAGCTAAGGAACAATGCAAGACAATTACTAGCCGAATTCTCGAGGATTTGGTGAACTTAGGCCACGCAGCCCCACCACAGTCGTCTTTCAAGGTCATCTCCAAAGTGAAGCTAAATGATACAAAGGGCTTTTGCGTATGGTGGAGGCGCTGGCGATTCATCAGTACAACCCTGAACTATGTATACAGAAAAAGTATGCCCAGTTTCTTATTCTACTTTGGTCTTAACCTCTTCACTAGTCGTCCTCTGTAAAAAATTTTGATTTTTTTCTTTTCTTTTTTTAATTTTTAATTTTACTTTTAGTTTACTTTTGCTTCAATGATTAATTCACTATTATCTCTCTCATATGCTCCTTTTGTATATTTTCACACTTGTTAAATTGACACTCAAATACCACCTTTATTCTCACACAATAGCAATTTTAACCTTATCATATTTCTATCTTTGTGCCATTGAGTACCACGTAATTTACAACTTTTAATTTTCACATCTAAAGCCACTTTTGAGTAATTATATAAATTATGTCACCTCCTATTACTCAATAATAGACCACTATACATTTTTTATAAGTATAAATACGACTGTACAGCCTCTGAAGATGATTTCGTCGATAAAGAAAATTTTCTTCGCTGAATTTCTCTTTTATTTTCTTCAGGGTTATAGTTCATAAGATTTAAAACTTTCTCAGTGATCTGAAATCACTAATATGGATGACTAATCAATAACAAATTGAATAACTCTGTTTCTGAATGCATAAATTTGGTTTGAAATGTTTGATTGCAATTGCTTCATGAAATCCCAGTAAATTTGCTGTCCTTTGTATGTTTAATATTTTGAAGGATTTTAGAAACCTCTACGAAATGGCTGGTATCCACAAGGTGTCTGGTATAATTGCACTTTGCAAATATCTCCTTCCTTTTAGGCATAAGTTCCTTAGGATATACTCAGAAAAACGGGGAGAAGCCCTTCTTTTTGTCCTTCCAGGGTAATTGCTCCTTCAAGTGCACGTAAATTTATAAGTATCAGTTGGAGGTGACATCAAGATTGAACTATAAGGTCTGGCTTTATGAAAACTTATTGGTCTGCAGAGATTTGGCCGACTTCCATTTAAATAATGAATTCATATCAGGTGGATAACCATTGAAAACTATCAAGGAGTACTAGTCAGGTGTTTCGTCCAAATTTAGGACTCTTCAGCACTAGGGAGCTAACTCAGAACCTTCATGTTACAAGGCTAGCCCAATGATCAAGCAGTCATTGAGAAGAGATCCAATCGCCGTCCCATGAATTCTTTTCTTCTACTTCTTTACGTTTCTAGTAGAACCTAGAGCTTTGAAGTTTCGGTAGCAGTGGCATTTATTTTTATGGTATGGGGCTGCTATCCTCATGCCCAACCTTCCCTCTTCATCAATCTTATTAATGGCTTAATGAGGTGAAGGAGCGCATCAGTGGCCGGGGATCAAACCCCAAACCATCTGCATGGGTGGTGAGCATTCTTTCATTGTACCACCGACACACACTCGTGAGCTCTAACTCCTGCCAATTTGCAAAATATATATAGCAAGAACCACGTCAGCCAATGCCATCAGCGAGTATTACTGATACTCATCCAGACGAACTAGGATGAAATAGCTTTCCAGTACTCTCTATCGGTTTCCAATGATTCACTAATCGATATCAGTTCATGATCTAACTTGACATATATGTGATTCGTATTAAAGATAAATTTTTGTGAGATTGAAAATGAAATCTATAAAGGTTTATTTTTACCGGTTTTTTGCTAATTTATCAATCAATAAATATAATATAGTGTGACGAATGTCCTATATGTCGATGGCCAATGCTCACTTTTGAATGATAATCTAACACAGCGTGGTGGGTGAAATGGGTTGCGGGGAGGTGGGGGGGGGCGGGCAGTGAAAGAACACAGAAAGGCATCTATCTCTTCAATGATTTTCAAAGATCAAATGTATTTGCATTAACATTCTGTTCACCCTCTCTTTATCTATCTATCCATCTCTTGTCTTTCAATTGGGGTCTACTGAACAGCTATGCACCTCATTTTTCTCCCATATAAGTGTAAATATCTCTCGATTACTTCTTAAAAATTTATTGATTTTGATTATGACAATGAAGAAAATTTTGATCTACGCTTTATCGATTTTTTATTCTGTTCTATCAGTGTTCTCACAAGAAATCTTTGCTAGTTTTTAATTCATTGAAAATTCCTATTGAAACATCTGAAAAATCAGAACAAGGGATTAAGAGAGGCGACTGTTTTCAGAGGATTTCTCATCAAGCTGTACAACCGTGCATATATATGTTTTTAAGAAATTATATCCGGTGGGGAAATTAGGTCAAAGTTGTGAATACATGAAATAATAATAATAATAGTAGTAGTAGTATGAAATGCAATTAAAATATTTGTGCTTATAATCATAGTTAAATGTCAAGTGGCAAAGCAAATTAATGTCATATATAGAATAATACATAAAGTGTATAGATTTTGGAAAGGTATACATAATTATAAGATTAGTAGACGAATATAAAATGTTACATAACATGGTGTGGAATTCGATAAGATAGAATTCAATATTGTAAAAATAAAAAAGTAAAAATTTAATAATTTTGCTTTTAGAATGACAAGTGGGTCAAGTGGAAAAGATTCAGAGCGGGAGTAGTAATAATAATAATAATAATAATAGTAATAAAAACAATCGAAGTAATAAAGGAAAGGTACATAGAACAACTAAATAAACAAAATAAATAAATGTCTATCCCTCTACACACAAAGATCTCGCTTAAAGTCATAAATTGCCAAAGCCTCAGCTGTCTTTAGAAGTTTGTAACGAAGAAAACGCGGCCAGTAAGTTAGTATGGATTCCGTATATATGATCTTGAAATCATGGACAGAGTTGACCGAGTGACAGGAGTCGATCAGGTGTTCCACATTAGAGCTTCGCAAACACTTCCTTTCTTCCTTGTAAAACCATGCTGTTGGAATATGTTCTCGTATCCATATGGAAAGCGTTCTCTGACTACGGTCAATTCATAAGATGTATAGAACTTGGAAGTGCATCGGTGGCACAGCGGTTAGGATGCTTGCCGACCATGCACATGGTGCGGGGTTTGATCTCCGGCCGGCGAACTCCTTTACTTCGCTAAGTCAGTAGTGAGACTGGTAAAGAGGAAAGGTTGTGCATGGCGGTAGCAACCCCATCCTGTAAAAATTAACGCTACTACCGAAAATTCAAGCCTCTAGCCTGGAGCCCTATGTTCCACTGGGAACGCGAAGGAAAAAAATAGAACTTGGAAGGGGTGTGAAATTATAGGATTATGTTATGTACTCGTCGAGTAGTTAATAGTTCTGACGCGGAAAGAGGGAAATCAGAAGACGGCCACCAGGTTTACGATGATACTTGTATTTTCCAGACAAGGAAAATTAAATGTCACACAAGAGTGTGAGTGAAATGATACGTAGTGTACGAAACGTGGGAACAAGAAGTCAGTACAAAAGTTTATATGAAAATGACTAATACACATGAACCAATAAATAGCCAGTCTTAACATGATTGGTTGTAATGTCATGTGACAACAAGGTCATACATGTTTATTTAGTTAGTGGACAGACAAAAGCATACTGTCAGTTATAATCAAAATATTGATCCATTTACACACAGCAACATATAATAGACTGTCAAAAACAAAACACACATCATGTGAATACATATCAGATTAGTAGACAAATCGGAAAAATATGAAAGCCTTACGCAACATTTTGTGAAATTTGATAACATAGAATTTGATGTTACAAAGCAAAAGTGATTTAGAATGAAAAAATGGAGAGAGTGAAATAATACCGGGGACAGTTCAAAGTGAGAGCAGTAATAGTAACAATTGACGTGATAAGTGAAAGGCATACAAATTGAATAGAAAAAATGAAAAAAAATTAGTAGAGACAAAATATGATTAGGGATTACCATATTTTAGCATGGATGGAGGAATTAAGACCATGAAAGTTGGAGGGGTTGAACGAACTTTTTCTGTGCACAGAGATCTGGCTTTTCTATTTCGATGGTCAAATATGGCTTCAGTGATACAGATTAGGCGGATACGTAGTGATTTGGTCAAATAACTTTTCGTCTTGTAGACTAATGTAAAGTCGGAGGTTCTACAGCCCAGTCAGTTTCGACCAGATGTGATCAGTGATCACGCTTCTGAATGCTTCACTCCCACGTCTTCGTAACCATGCAGGATAGGGTTCTTACACCGTCTTGGACAAAACTAGAGTCGAACGATCGACATCACCAGCTCGACACGAGCAGGTGGATTAATGAACACACATAGAGTTGGTCACCTGTGAGATCTTGTCCTTCAGTTTGTTGAACAGTAATTGTCGACTAGAAAATGCAGTTCTCAACTATGCTGCAGCAAAGTTCCTTTTCAAAGACTCTGAGAGCCTTATTTTAAGGATGTCGGCAGCTAAGTCATCTTCGAATTCAAGTTCATGTATAACGTTTTCTTGGAAACGGATGTTAAGTCAAATTTCAAAGATCCTGACTGTATGTTACTGTTTATAAAATGTGGCGGCAATCCATTTCCAGCAAGGATTTCTCTTCCTCCACGGCAACAGGACTACATATGCTCCAAATCTCAGTGACAATTGATGAGATCAAGTTCCGTTTTCGATCAATGGACACCCAGCTGTAAAACATTATCTGTTTATTCCACTTGACATTTAACTATGGTTATAATCACACACATTTAATTCTATTTCTTACTACTATTATTATTATTTTATGTATTCGCAACTTTGTTTCGATCTCCTCACGATGGAGTTCCTGCTGTTATCCTTAAGAAGTGTGCTGACATCTTATGTTCCCCGTTAACTGACATTTTCAACGAATCGTTTTCCAAAAGTATTATACCTGACTCATGGTAAAATTTCAAGATTGTTCCAGTGCCTAAATCAACAAGTGGACCTACTATTAAGTTTAGGCCCATTGCTATTACCTCACCTTTTTTGAAAGTTACGGAAAGACTTATTTTACTTAATCTTGAACCCTTTTTAAAACCTTTCAATAACCCCAACCAGTTTGCTTATAAACATAGTGGGTATACCTTAGATGCCGCTGTTGTCCTACATCATAGTATAGTCTGTAGTTTAGATAAAAGAGCTAAATACGTCCGCTGTGCCTTCCTTGATTACACATCTGTATTTGACTCTGTACCTAGGTCTTTCTTGCTAAGTAAGCTTGCCGCAACACAGGCTGAGAGCTGGACAAATAAGTGGTTGCATTCCTATTTTTCTGATAGGAAGCAGTACACCGTCTGCAATGGTAAGTCCTCCACTACCTCACTTTTTCTTTTAGCTGGTGTTCCTCAAGGTGTTGTTCTTTCTCCTTTCTGTTTTTTTTTTCTTACATGACTTGCCTCATTCTGATGTAGCCACTTTTGTTAAGTATGCTGATGACCTCTCTGTTTCTATGCCTGTCAACTCTCAGTCAGATTGTTCCAAATTAATTAACTTTCTATCGGAAATTAGTTAGTGGTCCTCTTCAAATAGTCTTAAGCTGAATCCGTCTAAATGTCAAGTAGTCAATTTCACTTTCAGACGTAAACGTGATCTACAACAACTAGCTAGCTCATATGGCCCCACTATCATTGACGCCATAGAGGTTGGAATTACACCTGATGTCAAGTACCTTGGACTGAGTATTTCCTCATATCTTCCCTCGTCCTCCCACATCTTGCTAGTTACTAGAAAGATGTTTCGCTTAACGTTCTACATTAGGAAATTTAGGCAGTCTGGCATAAAGCAGTCTTTGCTTTCTCAGTTTGTCAATGATTGTATTCTACCCATCCTCCTTTACTGCTCCCCATTAATCTTTCCTGGACTACTTAAGAAAGACTTTGCTTTGCTGAGAAGGGCAGGCACTAAAAGCCGTCAGTCAGTAGGGCAAGTGGGATATCGTTAAACCAACTGGTTAACACTATTGTGGATAGACATATAATGTCATGTAAGAAACTAGCGAATACAATATTGTCAGACCCTGAGCATCCTCTCTATACGCATCTGTCTCCTTGCATTTCATCTGGTAGAACTAGAAGCAGCTATAGGAGGTTATATGCTAGGACTACCAAGTACAAAAACTCCACAATACCTTATCTGGCACGGCTGTTATTTGTTGAGAAATGCGTTAGGTACGACACAACCAACTTACTGTGGCACTCTAACAAATAATCCCATTAGTTTTTGTTTGCCTTTCTTTGTTACTATTATATTGTTGTTCTCATCTTCTATTACACACCATTTTTATATTTCATATCCTGTGGTGCATTGTTTAAAATGTAAACGAAAACGCTGTTTTTTATTTTTTTTTATTTATCTTTTTTTTGGTTGTTGCTTTTTGATTTTAAAATCATATAAAATTTATGAGGTAATTAGATGCAATATATTGTAATGCACGCTGAAAATTCTATACCTGTACCACAAATACTGTTTGAAATAAAGCTGTTAATATTATTATTATTATTATTTATTAAACTATTTCTCAAAAACCCCATATATATACGATTGTACAGCTTTATAATAAATTCATTGATAATAGTCTCTTCTCCGAAACGTTTGCTTTAATTTTCATATGAAGTTTCACGACCTTTGTGAACGAAATGTAAGATCTTGTAATTTCAGTAGTCCACAGTTTGTTGAAGTCTTATCCATATAAGGATACAAATTGGGCACTGTGGAGGTCGGGTATAATTCCATTATGGATTAAATTTTGTGTCGAGAATATCACACGCCTGTGGTGTTATACAGGAATATTTCCTGATGACCACCTTTTGAAGCACAAATTA